AATTAAAGATGAATTTTCTCACTTACCTTACAGAGTATAAACCTGGTTCACCATGTTTAAAAAACAGAGTAGGCTCTTTCTGCCTGTACCTCAGCAGGCAGGAGTAGCATGGCTCCCAGCTCTGGGTGCCTCCCTGGCCTCCCTGCGGGATGAGTAGCCCTTCACCCTCTTTATGCCTGGTGCTTCTGCACCTACCTGGCCAGAAGCACAGGCTTAGCTGAGACACTTTGCAGGGCTCTTTTCTACCAACTTCCTCCTTTCTTTTAGGGAAGCTGTTAACTGTTCTGGCACTGGAGCCTTTTATAAACACAAAGGTAGAAGGCATGGTTAATAAATCCTTTGTGTGTGTGTGTGAGATGTTTGGTTTCTTTCACTAGCAAAGAGGAATTGAAAAAGAGCTATGCAGAACAACTACTCCTGGAACAATGAGACAGAAACAAAGGAGGCAGTCAGTAAGGACACCCACCACTGTTCCCCACGGGAGGCTGTGGAATGGGTTTTATTGCCTCAAAAAAGAAATTAGAAAGTGTCCACTGTAGTGGAACACACTTTACACAGGTGTGACTTATGAGGATATAATGAGAGCTGCCTGCCACTATGTCTGGCTTCTAAGCATCTAGTAGCTCTATTATTTTTCCTTTTTATTGTGCATGATGAAATGTCTAATGACAAAATAATAGTTTGAGCTACAGATAAATAATTTAAATTAAACTGAGGAGAAGCAATGGGATGTTACAGGAAACATTACTTAGTATTAAAGGGTCAAATGCGGTTGCAAGTCTATCCCTCACATTCAGTATAAATGTTACAGTGCTTAGGTGACTTCCTCCTTCTTCTTTGAGATCCTCTAAAACACAAGCATGCAAGTACTTCATAATTTTCCTACGTCATTACCGCCAAAGAGTGAATCATGTCAGACCTGTGCCTTTCATATAAACAAATACTTCTTAAAACAAACCCAGAAAATGGGCATTATCTTCTCTATTCTCCATCAACCTGAGTGGCAGTCCATGGACACCAGCCACTCACTCTAGCCGCATCATTTCGGGAATTCCTCAGCCGCAGTGACCTTCGGCCACCTGGAACAAGCCAGCATTCAGAATTGCCCTGCTCTGGAGTCTTCTCCAAGATCACTTTCCTTCTCCCTCACTTCCAGCCCTCCCGTTCCCTTTAATTCACGTAGCCTTGGGTCTTGCCGAGGCAGCAGATCTGGGTCCTTTCTCTCCTGCTATCAGTGCCTACCTGGCACTGCATCCTTTCTCGTCCAGCCCCAGTCCCCAGCATCTGTCACTTCCCCACTTTCTTGCCCCCTGGGCTGCTCTGTGTGCTGTACGGTTTCTGTTACAACTGCTATCTTCAACTCTGCTTTTGTAGACAATATGTAAACAAATTAGCCAGGCTGCGTTCCAATAACATTCTCTTAACCAACGCAGGCAGTGGCCGGACTTGGCCCCGATGCTGTTGTTTGTCGATTCTTGTCCCATGCCTGTGCATCTCATTCCTATCCCAGGCTTCTCAGCATGACTGGAGAAAGGCACAGACCTCTGCAGACCAGGATGGCACACAGTACTGATCTCTCAGCCTATCAGCTACTTCTTTCATTTTCTACAGGTTCTCTTTTTTACCTTCACCACTGCCACTGTGGCTGCTATGCCATCCTATGGGGGGCTGAGAGTCTACTGTTCTAAAAGTGGAACTAAATATATGTACATCTGAGCAACAATAGTGAACTTCTATACTGCATTTACTGAGTGTCAAGTCCCACTGAGCACTTTACATACATATGCCATCATTGTCCCTGTGCTGCACAAGGAGATACTGACCTGCAGAGAGCTCAGATGCCTTGTCTAATGTCATACAGTTAGTGGTTGAGCCAGGATCATTCATCCAAGCACCTGAACCCAGAACTTGTGCTAAGTCATGTTCTAAATAACAAATACAGAAACAATTTGCCCCTAAAATTCAAGAGAAATTTTATCAACTTGCAATCAGTGTTAAATCTATCAATGTCCATAGTATGTCTATATGTGTGTTTGTCTACCTATCCCTCCCTATTAACAGAATTAGAAGGAGAATTAAGGGCCAAAGGAAATTTTAAAATCCAATATAGAATATTATAATTAAGAATGTAATAAGCAATTAAATAAGTACTACAGCAATGATCAGAGAATAATATCAACTCTGTTATTCAACCAATCACTTTGTCAGACAGTCAAGGGATTTCAATTCAGTGGCCAATATTTCAATATTTTAAAAAGTTTCATACCATCTACAAAAGCAATACAATCTTTAAAATAGATGTACCACACTATCTTGATTACTATAGCTTTGTAAGTCTTTTTTTTTTTGAGACAGGTTCTTCTTATGCAGTTTCAGCTGGCCTCGAACTTGAGGTAACTCTGCTTCAGCTCCCCAAGTGCTGGGATTACAGATATGTGCTACCACATTTGGCGATGATAAGTTTTGAAGTTAGGCAATAAGAATCTTTCAATTTTGTTCTTTTGCTTTCAAGATTATTTTGGCTATTTTGGACACAGGGCAGGTCCATGTAAGATTCAGCTTGTCAATTTCACAATAATGCCTTCTAAGAATGCACTGAATCTGTAATTCTGGAGAGAAACGACCCCTTAACAATATTGAGTCTTCCAATCCATGAACACAGTATATCTCTCAAATTTATTTGGGCCTTTAATTGTTCTGAGAAATGCTCTGAGCTGGAAATGTAACTCAAGAGTACAGTGCTTGCCTAGCATGTGTGAGGCCCTGGGTTTGATCCCTAGTATTAGAAAAAAGAAAAAGTTTCATAGTTTTCAGTGCAAAAGTCCTACATGTCTGTTAAGTATTTTTTAAAATTCTACCATAAGTGGTACTGCTGTTTTAATTTCAATTTCTAATTGTTTATTCCTGGATAAACAGGCTGGCCTTGACCTCCTGAGCTTGACTGATATTCCTGCATTAGTCTCTCAGGTGTCTGGGAATACAGGTACATGCCACCATATCTGCTGTAAACTATTTTTATACGTGGACCTGAACCCTGAAGTCTTGCAAAGCTCATCTTTGAGGTCTAGCAGCTTTTTGTGGTCAATTCTTTGGGATTTCCTACACAGATAACCATGTTATAGTTGAATAAAAATACTGTCATTTCTCCCTTTCCAGTGTAGAAGCCTTTCATTTCTTTTTTATGGCTTAAGTGTTTTCGCTAGGACCTCCAATACAATGTTGGATAAAAGTGGTGAAAAAAGATATTGTTTCCCTGTCGCTGATCTGATTAGTAAAACATCCAGTCTTTCATCATTAATTAACATCAGCAGTAGGGATGTTTAAATATGCTCTTTATCAGCTTGACAGAAATTTCCTTTTCTTTCTAACTTGCTTAGACTTTCAAAAAATTGTAATTAGGTGTAGAATTTTATCAAATGTTTTTTCTGCATGAATCATGTTTTATCTTATTCTGTTAATATACTAGATTACAGAGATTTATTTTCAAGTGTCAGATTAACATTAGAATTCTGAGAAAAACGCTCCTCGATCATGGTGTAGTCTCATTTTTATATAATGCAGGATTTGATTTGTTAATACTTTTTTTTTGGTATCAGGGATTGAACTCAGGACCTTGCACTAGTGAAGCAGTGCTAAAACCCTGGCCCTAATTTGTTAATATTTTATTAAAGATTTTTACATCTATGTTAATGGGGAAATGGATCTATAATTTACTTTTATTGTAATGTGTTTGTCAGATTTTGGTAGCAGATGAGCCATCTTCATAAAATGAGTTGGGCAAGGCTCTTTCTCTTTTTATATTCTGAAAGAGATTGGTATAAACTGATGTTACTTCTGCCTTAGAATGTAATGTTGAAACTATATGGGCTTGAGGTTTTCTTTGTAAGGCATTTTTGAAAAGATAGTGATATACATGGATATATGTACATTTACCATACATATTTTAATATATTCATATATTTTAAAATTTAACAAACACAAAGGTCATATCAGGTCAATTTTAGCCAGTTGTCATCTTTTCAGCTAAGGTGTCAAACATATTGCTCTAACACTGCCCTTAATTTTCTCTTATAATCCTTTGATATTTAGAGGATTTGTATAGCTATATCCTATATCTCATTCTTGTAATTTCTACCCCCTCCCTCTGATCAGTCTTTACAGGGCTTAAATTAACTTTTCCATGGATCCCTCTTTCGGCCTTTGACATTTTTAACTTTTGCTTCTCTTTTATTTTATTCACTTCTATTCTTTGTTGTTTACTTTCTTACTTTGGGTTTAATTTGTTCCTTTTTCCTCAAAGCATCTTAAATTAGAACCCTATGTCATTGATTTTAATGTGTTCTCCCTTTCTTGTCCATGCAATTTTTTGGTTGTTGCTGTTGTTTTGGGCAGGGTCTAGCTATGTAGTTGAGGTCGGCCTTGAATTCACAGTGATCCTCCTGCCTCAGCCTCTCAAATGCTGAGATTACAGAGGTACGCCACACGCTTGGCTCTTACATAAGCACTTAAGCTATGATTTTTCTCTGTAGCAACCCTCTTAATGTTTTATAGAGACAGGGAAAGGATGCATGCAATTCCTTGCTCCTTTTGGGTAATCAGTATACAAAAAGAGCACACATGCACTTGTATACATAACAATATACATAATAATCCTTTTCATACAACCTCTTACTAAGTAACCTAAATGAAAGGAAGCTCTCAGTTAATGCTAGTTCCTTCTAATTTGGTTAGTACCAAAATTACTCAGAACTCATGGTAATGCATTTAATCAATATTTGGTTATACACAATGATAAATTATCTATCAGTCCTTTAATAAAGGAGTACTTTCCCAATTGATGAGTACCTCTATGGCAGGTACATTTTAATATCACCGGAGAAGGGACTCCCCACCTAAAGCAGAGAGACGGGGAGGGGGGAGGGAAGAAGGGAGGGAGGGAGAGAGCAGAGAAAAATAAAAGAAGAATGCTTAAAAAAGAGTATGTTTGGGGGGAGACTCACCCCATGTGGTTAAGGTCTTAAGGTCTTCATTATCCATCTGAACAATGCTGGCTTGTGTAGGTTTCTGATGGTCCTTACTGATTACAATCTCCTTTACTGGGTTAACTGTTTTGAAAGAGGGAGAGACATAGAGTGTCTCTACAGAAGACCAGTTATAGAAAGCAGAATCTGACTTTGATATCCTTAAATTGGGGCTGATAAATTCTTCTTTACTTGATGAGCAAAATGCTGGTAAAGTTGTCAACATTTCAACACTTTTTATGGGTTCTTGCTTTCCCTGAGGTGTTTGCAAAGGGTTTTCTATTACAGTATTTGAAATGGTATTCTCTGATTCCTTGTCCAAAGTCACATTTATCTGCAGAGAGGAACATTTTTCTGAGGAGGTAGGCATAGCATCTGTAAAGTAACAAATAAGAACTACAATAAAAAATGAAAATACTCTATTTCAAATCCATTGCAATTTTAATAAATAGGATTTTAATTCTGTAACAGAATTCTTTCCTATTTAGTTGTTCTGCTTTCTTAGTGTGCTTCTATATTCTATTTAAAGTCCACTCAAACTATAATTGATGCCTTAGTCATTTGGTGGATGCCTTCTCCCTTTCTCCTCACTAAAATACAAGGCAAGAAAAGCTTCAAATAACTTGTCTTTAAATATTTCTCCCTTCACCCACTTATCTGTCTCTGAAACCACCATATTTTTAGTACCTTCAAACTTTCATCTTTTATGAGGTAGACTAGGGTAAATGTGCCACATCATACTGGTTTATCCTTATAGGACCCATAGCTACAAAAATTTTTCCCCTGAAATAAAAAATGTCTTCACCCAGTGTCTACAAAAGGCATTAACGAAACTCAGTACTTTAGCAGCATAATTTTACTAAATCCTCTCTCTACATGGAAAAACCCCAACAACCTTTCTCAGCTATTCTGAGGACTGAAATGTAAGTTCCATTAAGTGAGAGATCTGTCCATTCTAGTCAATGCCACCAGAGAACCTAGAACAGAGCCTGGAATACAACAGACACATGACTTTATTACAAATAGAAGTCACTTAAGGAATTGTATGGAACTGAAATTTAAGGCAGATCTGATCTAGGGGTGTTAAGTATCTAAAAAATACATGAATTTTGGGCCTAGTCAATTTTAGATGTAAATTGCTTTTAGTACCCAATGGTAGGGCTCGCTCTCAAAGAGTTTCATCGGAACCTGGATATAAAGAGGAAGAAAACTATTTTTAAGAGGTTGAGTTAGTGAAACTAGAAGCATAACTAGGTGAGAGAGGGAAGAAAGATGAAGATATAATTTAAACTCCCAAAAGGGAAAAGGATGCAGAAATCGTGCAATTCACTATCACAATGCACATCATAACGTATTATAATGCACATTTATATGCTCTCATCATCACTCTTAGGCTCTGAGTTATTAAAGCAAAAACAGATTTTCTTTGACACTAAAATTCTTTCCATTTCACCCACAGTTGGGGGCTAGAAAAAAGTTCCTGGTATATACTGAGAATTATACAACTCAGGAAACTTATATTGGTATCTCCACTAGGAATTCCATGTTTTCTCAATGTCCCTTATAAAACTCAATTCAAGTGTCACTTTTTCTCTAAACCTCGCCCTGGTCCTTTTCTCTCCTTGCCCCAGTCTACCACTGTCCATCATACTATGTCCTTCCCAGAATCCTGTGAGTAATGAAAACACTTCATTCATTACGAGTCTTCCCCTACCTGACAATAGTCTCTTGAAGAGACCTTGTATGAGTTGTCTTTGGATCCCAACACCTAACAGTGCCACTCCTAGCTGATGTACTCGATGCTTGTTGGATGAAAGTAAAACTGAGGCACAAGAATTACAAAAAAGTGGGCCAGGGATTTAGCTCAGTGGTGCCACTGCTGCCTGCCTCACGAGCGCAAGGACCCAAGTTCAATCCCTGGTACCAAAAAAAAAATACTCCTAGCTGATGTACTCGATGCTTGTTGGATGAAAGTAAAACTGAGGCACAAGAATTACAAAAAAGTGGGCCAGGGATTTAGCTCAGTGGTGCCACTGCTGCCTGCCTCACGAGCGCAAGGACCCAAGTTCAATCCCTGGTACAAAAAAAAAAAAAAAAAAGAATTAAAAAAAAGTAAAGTAGTACATGTATTTTTCTAAATTGAATACAGTTTAATGACTTAATAAAGATTAAAGGAAACTGAAAAGTGGTAGATGAAAATAACTTCTAAAATATTCCTAATTTGCATATGGCCCAGTTATATTTAGTTGATAAAGTTTCTGTTAAAAATGCTAATATAGCCCTTAGTAGGGAACTAGATTTATGGTATTCCAGAGTGCATGTGTAAGGTCACCACATTTACATAAAAGCATTCATTACTTAAGAGCAAAATTTCATTTAATATTTTTTCTACTGACTTCCATTTTACATGTGAGAAAACAAAAAAAATGTTTTATAATAAAATCATGTAAAATTTAGCAGTATGTAACTAGGACAATGCAGAATGACTAACTTCCTGGTGAAAATATTCATAAGAACACTCAATATTTGGTACAAAAATACAAAATTTAAAATTAAACACAACCTTAAGATTCAATGAAATCAGCCAGATCAAAGTCATTCTATCAACCCCCTCTCCCAATAGTCCAGGAAGATTAGCTTGCAATCTTTTGGTTGCTTAAGATTTCCGTTAAAATTTGTAACTTCTGTTATTTTTTAATTTTTGAGAGGGTCTTGGTTGCCATGTTGTGCAGACTGGTCTCAAATTCCGAGGTGCAAGTGAGCCTTCCAACTCAGCCTCTCAAGTAGCTGGGACTACAGGCTACTTGCACCACTGTGGTCAGCAAAACCCGGAACTTTTTAAATGAATCAAATACTATGATCTAAAAGAAGTCTGCTGGTAAATTAATTTTATATGCCCAGTACTTTATCTTAAAGAGAAAAATGTTTACTTAAATAGAAAGCTGATAGAGTCAGGATTCTAGAAAGCAAAGTGGTCTGTTTCTTGCCCGTTATCCTTGTTGCATCCTTACTTATTCTATGCAATGTGCCAAGTTAATCCTCTTCAATTCAATCACTACTTTAGTTATTTTTAGTTTATATTCAAAAGTCCTTTAAAAACTCCCTCTGTGTCAGTGACAAAATCCAACTCCTTGGGGTTTGAAGGACTCACTGCCCATCTGCTATCACTCACATCCCAGGTGCATCAGGTCCCTGTGCATATTCTGTCAACGCAGGTCTCCTGATCTCCACACCACACTGATCTCTCCCTCTGCGTGCTGACAACGGAACACTATCCTTTTTCCCCACCCATTTAAATCCCACCAGTATCACAAGGCCCATCTCAAGTACCACATCTACAAGCTATCTCCAGCAGCCCGCACTCCATCCTAATTCTGCCCTTCCTTGAGATAACGCTATCGATCACAAGATGGATCCATTTATCCTCTCCCTCCAAAGCCACACAAATGACAAAAGGAGGAATTAAAAGGTATAAACCTAAGAAGGGAAACAGAATAAAAGAGCAAAGAGGAAAATAAAAGATAAGAGATGCTAACAGGACATTAGAAAAGGAAAAGTTGAGGATGGAACTGAAGTGGCAAAAACCCTAAATTCCTGGAGAAGGGGAAACCAGTGTGAATGAAGCCAATCCTTGGACAGAACTCTAGAAAGTTTTAGGAACTGGAGGAGCAGCTTCTTAGAAGTTTGAGGACTTTGTAGCTTTATTTTGGGAAGATCTTCACTTGCATGAAGATAGCTGTTATCTTGTCAGGCAGAAAAGATTTATTTCCATTGCCTGGGTATTCAAGCATGTGTATGAATCCTGAGTAGCCAATGCATGAGCTGCACAATTATTAAGCTATTGTCTTAGAGCCCCATAGCCACACCCTTCTATGCTCTGTTCTGATACTGGGGCCAGGATACCACAAACCACATCTATACGTTGCCCATTCATTTATGTCAGGTTGGGCCAGCAAAGGGTGCCAGACAGAGAGTAGAAGGCTGGAGGAGGAGGACAGGTGCTGCACCTTTGTCTGCCTCCACAGCTAAGAGCTTTGCCCTTGCGATGCTCCTTCCTCCACCGGTAGTGTTCCTTTCATTTTGCATTTTTCTAACACTTTTAGAAGAAGCTTTACATACCTCCGTAGCAACATTAACTCCAGCTCCTTCAAGTTTCTAAATTTTAATAATTCCAACCTCTTCGTTTTGCTCCCCTAGGCTCCAGGCTGGTAGTTTATTCCTGCAGCTGCTTCCTCTATGGTACGTTGGTGTTCACTTTTTGCCTTTTCAATTTTCAGTACCTAATCAACAATCTTCATATTAAATTTGATAATATTTTCTGTCAATCGCAGAGTAATTTCTATTAGAACAATGCTACCATAGCTACCACCTAGAATCTCTAGAAAATATATGAGTATCAGCCAACAACTCCAAGGTGAGGAGAGTGACCAAAAGCAGGCAGAAAGCAGAGGACTCAAGGCTAGGAAGAAAGAAGAGCACTGAGAGGGGGTCGCCTGTTTCTCCAACTCATCATTGGCACTCCGGCCAGCTCTCCACGGGGAGGCTGAAACTGGGCTACACCTACTCTTACTGAACTAGAGCAGGACAGGACAGTTGGAGCTACCACGGCACTGGAGGGAGGTGGGGATCCTGCTCAGGAACTACAGAGAAAACCACATTTATTACCAACACAATCAAACTGCTGATAACTAAACATAGCAAAGTGAATCTCAGAAGTACCCAGAGAAAGATGACACTTAGCCGGGCATGGTGGCACAGCCTGGAATCCCAGTCCTCTGGGAGGCTAAGTAGGGGGATCACAAACTCAGGTCCAATCTGGGCAACTTCATGACTCAGAGAGATCCTGTCTCAAAAATAAAAAAATAAAGTACTGGGGATGCAGCTCAGTGCAAAGGCCCTGGATTCCATCCCTAGTACCAGGGGTGGGGTTTGGGTGATGCTTTGTGAAGAAGGGAATGAGGTGAATGATGGCTGACTTCTCATCAGATGTAATGGAGGCTAGAAAACAGTGGAAAACCATCTTTTAAGAAATGCAGTGGTGAAGCAAAACAAAAACTGTCAACATAAAATTCTGTAACTAGTAACAATGTCCTTCAAAATTGAAGGCAAAATAAAAACATTATAAAATAAACAAAAGCTAAGAGAATAAACTGCCAGCAGGCCTTTAAAATAAGAACTGTTGTTGAAAGTTAAATAGAAATTATACCAGATGGAAAGCTGGATCTTTGAGAAGGAATGAAGAATGCCATAAATGGGAAAACATGTAGGTAAATGCAAAAGTCTGCTTTTTCTCTTCATTTCTTTAAAACATATGTGGTTGTTTAAAAAAATCATAAAACTTCGTGTGAAAATCTTAACAAAAATAAATATAATTC